CGATATTGTATAAAACTCTTATTAAGGATTTCAATATCTTATTTATTTCATAAAACGTCAATGTATATTTCTAATGATGCATTCCATAAACTTATGTTCAATTTTTTTGTCAATCGATGCCTTTTGTAGTTACTTTTTTGTATTATTTTATCGTAACAAGCTTTTATATCATATAAATCGTGTAATGTAATAAATTGATGGGTTTGATTTAATTTAAGTTTTCTTCTTTTTAGAGCATTTAAATATGTAAAAGCTTGATTTAAAAATGTTTTTTTTACAATTGTTTTATTTTTTAATTTATTTAGTTATTTGTATTCTTCTTTGCAAATCCTTTCATTTGATATCAATATCATGGGGGTGCAAGAAAAACTTAGTCCATCTTCTTTGGGAGTCCGCCATATTGGAATTAGAATGACGTCATTTATCTACCATGCATTGTCATCAAAACTAAACATGTATGCAAAATTTCAGCTCAATCAGCCGAGGATAACTGCTTTAAAATTAAGTTGCAAGATTTGACCCAAACTAACATAATATACTAAAACATACTAAAGCTTGGAAAAAACGCACATCGAGATATATAGAGTAGATGACCAGAAAGTAAGTCCGTTTATTCTTTATTTATATTATGCCAATAATTTGTCTTGTAATCATTTATATCATTTGTTAAAATATAACGCAAATTATAAAATTAAATTGCGTACTTGACTTTACTAACTTGGTCATTACTGGGGCCCTTGAAAATTTTCATTGGGTTCATAGGATAGGGTTCATGAAACCTTTCCCCTCCAACGTGCGTTCACCTTGTCGTGGTGGGGGGGGGGGGCTCAGTAGTGCCCGGCAATCCAACCGGGTGCGAAGCTAAGAAACGCACAGGGAGGTTGCCCACTTCGGTGGGCGGTGGGAGGTGGCCCTCTTCGGGGGGCGGTGTACCTTGCGGGTTGCTCCTGGTACTTCTCTGATAGCAGAGTGGACTGTGGAGCAACCCCATGATTGTGGTGGTCTGCTTCGGCAGACCTGCCGTCGGGGCGTCGTAGCTGAATGCGTAAGCGATCCTGCGATGCCCCATTAAGACGGGGGAAGGTTTTGTTGGGTTTTAGTGGGTAGTACTGGCTGTAATACGCCGGTGAGTCCCACACGTCGTGCGTAAATGCATTTCCCAACGTTAAAAAAAAGGGTTCATGAAACCTTGCTAAACATATTAATTTATGGTTAATTTTCAACCCCGTATCGCCGGGCCCCAGTTTGTATGGTCACTGGTTTTCTTCTATCACATATATAACTTGATACTTTATATTACTCTTAACAAGTAAATTAACAGGTATTACGCCTTTCCTCAATGTAAGAAGACTAGAACGCAGTAACTTATTAGTTTTAGACATTTGGTACATGTCGCCCCCTGGACAAAGTTATGTAATACTCACGACTACGACCTGGCCATCTTCAAAAAGAGAGCGTATTCTTTTCTGAAAGGCCGGCAACGCATCTGCAAGCCCTGCGGTGTTGCACATGTCCATGCGGCGGTGATTACTCTCCATCAGGTGAGCCTCCTGCCCGTTTGCCCCCTTAGTCCCATAAAAAAAAACTCAAGTAGCACTCGATCAAAGCAGTAATATACACTCTAGCTGAAAAAATCCTTAGACCTATTTTAAGTAACTTACAGTAAGTGGATTTTTCTCTCCGTCGGAGACAAACATGTATAACAATAGAGTCATAATGTGCTATAACTTGTTCCAAAACAAATACAACTTTAATATAAGAGAAGTATCTAACTAAACAAGTAATCTATTTCAGTAGCCGTATATTCAAGAAGTTTAAAAAGAAGCTTGGTTCGAAAGCGGATAATAAAAGTGACAATTTAAACGTAACGTAGTTTGGAAAGGAAGCGCCGAGACAAAAGAAGTGCAGAGTAGTGAAATGTGAAAAGAACTTAGGGAGAGCGCCCACATTAGACGGCAGTGTCTGAATAGATTTATTTGTGTGAACTATTTCTATTTAATGGTCAGCTTAATACGTGTAGAGCTATTGTTTACTTTCGAACATTATGTTTAAGAGAATCTGTACAATTTTATAAATTATACCTTGCTGATTTGGTTTACAGTTTGTTTAATTTTGGTGTGATAAGATGAACTCTTATTCTTAGAAAAGAATTAATTTATTATATTATTATTTGTATAATATGGCAAGATATATTTTTATTTAACATAAAAATGTTTTAAGTTTAAATATATTCTTCTTGCATTCTTTATTGCACTTAAATATAACACCGTACATACATACATCCACTCGTAAACATAAAAGCGAAATACCACTCACTCACTAATTAATCACGATATACCAGAAATTATAAAATTTGCTACAACATGGAATTTAGCAGGTAAGTTCCTCCTAGAGTTAAATCAAATTGTTTTGATGAAGATAGTAATATCTTTCTTATGTCACATACTATACTACTATACTGTTACACTTTCACTAAAAAAATAAAATCTTTTTTAGGTATAAAGTAAACCGACTTGAATGCACTATATAGAGATGTGTTCAAGAGTTGTTCATCAACTAATTTCTTTAATCTTTTGATTAGATTTTCATACAGAATATCTTCATAGTTATATGTAGATTGATATTAGCAGAATTCTATTATTTTAAATTAATACCAATAGAAACTACCAACATAGCACATCTTTCTGCACCCAGTTGTGCTTAGCGAACTATATATTTTGTTCATTCTTTTGTGTGCTGGAAGAATTTCACTCGTAGCTATTGATTTAGTAAGGAAAGCAGCTTCTTTTCCTTTAACGTATTGTTTTGGCGATACTTATTAATATTTTACTTCAAGAACAAAGAAATATCGACGGTGATGTAAAATATGTATGTCGATATGTACCTACTGGTGTTTTTAAAATTATTCGATGAAAAATTTCAGTAATTTTAAACGTTACAAAATAATAGAGAAGGTGTAAATTTATTTTTCTTTTTTGACGCGTGGTAGTGGCTTAGGCGGTTGTATATATGAACCTACATGTATTTTAATAATAAACTTTATTCTAGTAACTGCCTCGTTAGTCTAGTGGCTAGCATGTACATATATACGATCTGCAGCCAGATCGCCTGGGGTTCGAGTTCCGCCTGCACTCAAAATAGTCACTGGATTTTTGTAACGAAATAGGACGAAGGAGGCGCTGAGACCTTGTGTCAAGGAGATCACGATAAGCTAGCGGTCCTGCACCTTATCTTCCACCTGTCATGTCGAGTTGTCATCCCACCGAGATGTGAGAGTTAAAGCAAAAGAGAGCGCAACTGTTTCTGCACACACACACACTAGTGTGCTTTATATCGCGCTGGTTAGTCTCAGTGATGTGACGTGACATTATAATTTGTAAGAATTCAATTTATATTAATAAATAAACTTAAAGTATCTGAGATATTGTTAGTGTACATAGCATACAATTCTCAATCCTTTTTTAATCGGCCCCTTTTAACGTTCCACTGCAGCATGAGTACATCCTTCCCTCAATGCGAGGAGGTTTAGGCTCCGATCAACTATTTTAGTAAGCAATGTTTGGCTAGGATTTCTCACGATTTTTTAAAACTAGTTAGGTTCTCTCAGACATACAGATTTCTTAACGATCTGTTACTTTAAAATTTGATATTTGCTTGTATATAACAACTATGATAGTAAAATTCGGTCAAGTTGTTGTTGTTGAAGTGTTCAAATACCTATTGCACGGAAACCGTAGCCTACTTCGGCAAAGCTGAAAGGAGGGTTACGAGTATAGCAGTCTATGTATGTATCATTAGTTTTCTCACAGTATATCTTCTAAGCTATTCGTCGAACATTAACAAGTCTCGTTAAAAGCGTCGTGCTAGTTAGTCTGTTAGTTATAACCAATATTCTTTGATTATTTGTTATTTACAATATATAAATGTACCAGCAATGAAATGTATTTCACTGCTTTTTAGATAGTCAAAAATATTGTTGAGTGGTTTTTAACACGCTTTATCTTATTTTAAATATTGTTTTTTTTTTTTTAAATTTGAAACTCCAATAGTATGTTTTTCGAGATTACAACATAATAATTTGATAACATTGATCGAGTAGATATGTCGACACAAGCATAAGCCACATAATGTTAATTTTCAATGGTTACTAAAAGCTTTCCAGTGCCATACATAACATTTTGTTCATTCGTATTTTTAAAAGTGAAAATATTTTATTAATTCATTGTTAGTGTGGCTATATTTCAAACTAGATAGAACAATAAGATAAAACACAACGGCGACTGTGGCTTAATTTGTTTGAAACCCTTCTTTTATGCAATTGGCACGCCAACATAAAGTATGTTTGTAAGTATAGAATACACAATTCAATATTGTTTGTCTGTCAGTGAGTGTCAAAAAAAACAATTTAATAACGGGGGTTTTCTAAGTGACTTCGAAAATATTTGATAAGGTATCTATAGTAAATAAAAACCCCAGTTTTATTAGTAACACTAAAAATCAGGATCTAAAATCCAATTCTAACGTATTTCAAACTCAAAGTATTTACTAGTAGCCGTTGAAGAGTTCTACTATCCACCTTCTGGCCTCAACATCAGATCAGCTCGGTGGTACCAAATAACTATATTATCATCAGAAATACAAAAACTTGCAAAGTTTCAAGTCGATATGATGATTAGAAAAAAAAAACTTAACAAAAAAGACTAATTAGATCTGTGAACATACTCATAATTTCATGATAATTTTTGATTTTCTTGAAAACGGTAAACTCTGTGTCAAAAAAAATATTATGTGGTCACCTCGGGACCTACCTTAATAGAATAAAGTTAAAGTAGCAAGTTGGTCAACAGCCTTCGAGAAATCGGTGAATATAACTCTTTTTGCAAGTCGGTTAAACCAGGCTCTAAAATTTAATACTATTGTATTGGGCTTATTAAATCAAACCAAACAAGTCAAAATTAAAACTATTTACTTATAAAACACTTGTAAAGGTTCAAGTCGATATGACAATTAGAGGTAGGTACAAAAGTCTCATTAAATCTGTTAACACACTTGAAATTTCATGGTTTTTCCAGATTTTCTCGAAAACGGTATACTGTATGTCAAAAAAAATATATGGGACCAGCTCGGGACCTTAATAAAATACCATTTAAAGTAACAAAATCGGTCAAGCCGTCTCCGAGAAATCGGTGAACATACATCAAAAAATACATGCAGACGAACATAGAACCTCCTTTTCTTGAAAGTCGGTGAAAAAGTAAATGACTTTTATGAAGAGTACGACGTTTAAGTTGTACATAAATATTATTTAGAGTTAAAAGATACTCTTTATATACATACATACCTCAACCAAAAGTACAAATTATTAATGACGGGAAAATGAGGAATTTTTATGTTATAATATTGCAGTCATTGAATTGTGTTGATTTGCATAAGATTTATGTGCAAGTTCATTAATGGGTATAGAAAGCACAGTGAATACACCGTAAAAGAGAATAGCTGATTTAATTTCGAATAGTGTTACACAAAGATCTCAAAGGCTTCAAGCATTTTTTAAATGGAATTGCTGTGTTTTTCTTTTGAGCATAAATGCGATTTGCCATTTGCTATATAAAAGTGGATCGGACGGGGGTGTACAGTCGCGGGTAGTGCGGCGGGTTATTTCGACGTAATTAAAACAAACAGGAGGAGGTTCGCCACTCCTCTCTAATTGCGTTCGTGTTAAAATAATCACAGGAACTGTGACAGAATATCGATGCTGAACTTCCTCTTGTATCTACTTGGGCATGATGAAAAGCATAAAGGCGATAATTACGCATCACTCCCGAAGCGGTTATTTTTATGAAAACGAAATATGAATGCTAAAATAGAATTGTTCATAAAGTGCTTCGTGAACGCGGTGTGCCGAATACCTTTATCCTACGATCATTTATTCAGGTTATGGTACTACCGCCTATTTCTGGGAAATTTTATTCTTTTATTTACGTATAACAGTGCTACAGTTAGCAGTCTTTTTGTGGTTACTTAATCTTCTTTATTTTTATCAAAATAAATTATGAAGGAAAAATAATTTTATTTCAGTGAGCAGTCTTTTTGTTATAACTAGTTCTTCTTTATTTTTTCAAAATATAATATTAATTTATTAAGATCAAATCAAATAAATTATATTTATTTATTGAGATCAAAAAATTATTTATTGAATAATACATTCATTTAATTTCAATACATAATTTGACATTTGGTTAAATTTATTTGTTTTACATTCCTTATCGATTTTATAAGCTCTGTTAATACGAGTATTACATTATTATTGCACATATTATTGCCTTTAAAATAATAAAATATGCTTTAAGCGGTATGCTGTATTTATTGCTGCCATTATAAGTATTAACACATACGATAGTGCTTATGTTTATATTAAACACTAGATTTGCCGGCGACTCCGCCCGCGTTCGATGACCAAAAACCAAATTCTTAGGTTTTATATTTTACAGTATACTTTTACAATGCAGTTTTTGTATTTTTTCTGAGAAATGAGATATTTTCCTGCGGTAAAAAGTATCCTATATGTTGACCCGGATATCACCAGCTCTCATCATACCAAATTTCATCAAAATCTGTCCAGTGGTTTTCTCGTGATGCGGTAACAGATAGACTGACACACAGACAGACAGACAAAAATTTGAAAAACTATACATTCGGACTCTGTATCGATAATAATGTCTATTTCAATTAGATTTACCAAAAAATATTTAATGTACAGATTCAACTTAGTTACAATTTTATTATAGATATAGAATAGATTTACCCTAATGATATACATTTCTTTGGCATAGAATAAATTACCTAATAGCCCAGAACTATACTGAATTTTCTTTATAATATCTTTTACATATTCTCATTCCAAGAATAAGCGAGCATCATGTCGAAGCATCGGCAACAGCGAGAGACTAAGTTAACTTTTTTCTTGCGTAGAGGCAATGGTAACGGTTAAGGTGGCGGCGGGTGGTGTGTGGCACGAGGTGCGGGCGCGGAGGGCGGGCGGGCGCGGCGCGAGGCTGCAGCGCCGCAGACAGTGCGGCGGTGAGCGCGGCGCGGGGCGAGGGGCGCGGCGCGGCGGCGCGATGCTGCGCGCCTCTCAGTCGAGACGCGAGGCCCGCCCGCCCTAGCCGTTCGTACTCACGCCCGCCCGCCCCGCGCGCTCGACATACCTCGCAAGCCTCCAGTTTTACTGTTTTAAATACGTCAATGCTTAGGAATAGGCGATTACGAAATTCCAATCGGTACCTCCTTAGCTCAATTTTCCGTAATTCCTACTTTTGGACGGATCCGCGCGGGTTACACGTTAAGTATTTTCCTAGCTTTCGGATGGACCGGAAGGGGGGTGAGGGGCAGCCGGATTCGGAGGGTCGCGGGGCGCAGGACCCCTTGCGGCGCGGGGTTAGTAGGTTCGCAATGTCGCGTCGTTGTCGGTCAGAATGCATTCGCGGACGTAAAGTAGCGACCTAAGGTGTCGTCGCGTTTCTTACCTGGGGTCGGTCAACTCATCGCTTTTTAAAATTTCAGAAACGTAATTTAAGAACGTTAAAATTTAATAATTCGTTTCTTTGATAAAGTTGGTTGTTAAATAAAATATATTTGGGTCAAATACGAGATGCAAGGTCATCTACTAGATGTCAACGAACCCCTCGTCTGGTGCCCGCGTCAGGTCGATGACGTCGGGGTCATCGGGTTAGAACTTCGATTCATCTCCGACTGTCGATGTCAGCCGAGATGTTGAATATTTTAAGACTGCGGATGTGAATGTGATCTACTTGGAATATTGAAAGGTTATCGTAAGATTTTTGAGTGCCCGCGTAAAATATGACGACGGAAGTGTGCATCGGCTGACAGCGAACAGGGAAGCCGCCGCGTTAACCCTGCCCGAATTAGTGCAGCGGACGAGACTAAAATAGCAAGGCGGCGTGTACAATTACATACGGCGCGTCAATGTCGGCGCGCCGGCACGCGCTCGCTCGCGCGCCGCGGCCCGCCTCGCGCCGGTAAGTTTACACTGTGTGTGCTTGCAGAGCGCGCGACCAGCCCTATATGTGGCGCCGCCGGCCGTCGTGCTACCGCCGATGGCGCCCTCGCGCCACACCTCCCTCCTCGCACCTCGCGCGTCGTTCTATTCTTGGACTCATCTGTTCCACTATATACTCGCTAAATTTTACACGATCCTAAATATATCAACCTAATCTTCGTATTAGAATATGCCTACGGCATATGATGATCTTTATCAACTATTCTTTTGTACATCGAAGATAATGGAAAAGAAAATGCGACATCAAGAAGTGTTGAAGAGATTACCGAGCTCCTGTGAAAGTGTTAGCGTTGTTCGCTTTAGCTGGTTGACTTCGGGTCAAATTGTCATTTCTCTATCATTTGGTCCCCTTCAACCAGCTGTAGTTGACATCTGCTTTGCTTTCCTTTCGACTGGCGACAACTATAGACATCAAGCTACTAATAAATCGCTGTGAAGGTTGTAAAGTGATCTAATTTAAAACGATGTGTTACCCATATTCATATTTTTTTTATTTTCATCTTTACCGTATTCTCAATAATTAAACTAATTTAAAATGATTTTGTAAATAACATTAAAAAGCTACATAATAAAGAAGTAATTGACAGTTAAATTGTTCATAAATAAAATGTGTAGTGTGACATGGTATAAATTGTAAAATATGTTATAAAAAAATTCTAGATTAAAAATATCTTTATTATAAATTAATATGAAGAGAAGTTAATGTAAAATAAAATGGTTAAATAAAATATTTTACTATATTTGAATGAATAAAACCATGCCAATGTACATTCATTTTTCGTACATATAAACAAGTAGCAAATTACATTTAAGTTAATAAAGATTGTACGAAATTTTCATAATTTAGATTTACAGTGTAATAAATGTGAACGCCGTTAGTAAAGTATCGGAGAGCGGACGAGATCAAAGTAAACATTTCGTAGGATCCTTTGAAGTCACATGAAAATATTTTATAAATACTTAAAATTGTTAGTGATACTAGTACGAGTACAACGCTTCGTTTGCGGTCTTTTGTGTTGGGTAGATAGATTACTTCAAGAGATATAACAACGTTTTGTGTTACTTGAGTAAAACAGGCTCTCAGGGGGATGTGGATAAAGTCGTTAATGGCGGTGGCTTTAATATTATCGATTGATAACATTGAAGGTTTTTGGATGTTCACACGCGAGCGGAGGGTCGTAATGTGATATATATATTTTGGTATTATAAGATTACTTACTGATCATTCTTCGATCATCTTCATCGAGTTATGTTTTAAACCATTGTTTTTGTAATATTAAGCGTAATGTCTTCGAATTCTAAAAACTAATCCTTTCTTAATGTTCTTAGAGTAGATATTAAATACATACGTTGAAAATAATTATCAGGAAACTTTATCATGTCATGATGAATAATAATAATTTTATTTAACCAAACTAATCTAATGAAAAATTAATGACAGACGTGGTTTTATTTCTTATTGATTAATGATGTCTTCTGGTAATATAAGAAAATAAGGATTAACACTATCAGAAATAATAAGAATATTATTAATGTAACAATATTTAAACTCAACGTCATTTTAAATATAAAATATGCGACCATATCATCTATTTAAATACGACGAAATGTAACAGACTATTGGTTGTTTTGTATGATTAAGTTTTGTTAGCTTTTAGAGTATGACAGTAGTTTGGGGGAGAAGGGTCGCAAAAACGCCGATGGCATTGGCTGGCGGCGTCGGCGCTCTGCGGCGCGACTTTACACCATAAATCAAAGACCCCCGAGAGCCCCAATCTCATAATATAGCTACGAAACGCTACAGCACTCTACAACAGATCGTAACTTTAATAACATTTGAATTATTCGTCTTATCAGAAATCTTACACAGTCGAGGGTCTATAATCGTCGACTCGCGTGCGTGCATTTACATAGTGAATTGCCGTTTTCGTGTTACGCATGTCATGTACGAGTCGAACATTCGGGGCTGTTTCAGTGACATTGGCGTGTCGAGGTAGTGCCTTACTCAAAATACGGTTCAGAAGGAAATCACCTGGCAAGCCATTAACCTAATTCACGGACGCAAAAGACAGGGCGGAGACGCGGGTGGCGGCGCGCGGCGTCAGTGTAGCGCCCGCTTTAATATCGCTCGCTGCTGGTAATAAGATGGAAATAAGACGGCGGCGAAGAAATCGGGCCAATCATCGTCTTTAGCTACTTGACGCCGACGCTGAGCCTTGGATAAGCGTATACCTGGTAAGATAATATTTAAATAACACCTCGGTTATTTCATTTTATTTATAGCAGGGTTATAACTTATAAGGTTTTTTAATACTTTTTTTAGTCGAGCGCAATTAGTCGTTATAAATGAAAAATGTCGGAACGTGATTATAATGAATGGATTTGAATGATTTTCTTTTTTTTTACGCATTTTAATAGGTACCATAAACTAAAAAGTTTACCTGTTAAAAATTACCGCTGTTTGGAAAATTCGTGAATAAAAAAATAACACATTTTATAGAAATCTCCACAAAAATACAACTATCGGAATTTTTAAATATTTATTTTAAGAAAATACTAACTGTTATAGTTTTTGAGGTTGTCTATACAAGATTTTTTATACAAAACTTTTTATTATTAACAAGTTTCTATCAAGATATATAGAGATATAGCAAAACAATGTACTACTACAAAATTGTAAAAAAAGTCCACAACAGCATACACATGTCTATCTCCTTAGGTACACTAGCCCTGCCTACTTTTATCTATACATATAATAAAACAGTAACTTAGCGAAGTCCATGTGCGCATTTCACGCAAAAAGTACTGAACCTATTTAAAAAAAAAAAAATGTAGTGATAACTTATTACTGGGGTCAAAATTTAGCATACCTTTTACTACAGGAAAATCTTTAATTCCCCATGGAAAATCACAATAACTGGTTCTATCAAGTCGTAATTAGAAATTTATTTGACCAACGCGGGCTCAACCATAAGAGATATATAAAAACAATTTACAAAAAAAATTTAGATCTTAAAAACACCTACAAAAAAGTCCACAATAGCTTAATTCGTTGGCTCACAATTACAAGGTTCTATGTTACAATTTTAGTACTTATGTAGTTTTGAATGCTACAAGGTTTTATGTGTCATTAGCTACAGTTTTGCAAAAACAAACCACTAGATAGCGGCACTTTAACTACAAAATATTCAATTTTCCATAGTTCTATGTTGTTTTTTTTACGATAACAAAATAACGAAGTTCTACGTAAAAATTACTAAACTTTATTAACATTAACATAGAACCTTGTAATAGTGAGCCAACGATTATGTCTATATCCTAAGGTATACTCGCAATACCTATCTACTTTTATACACTAGCGACTCACCCTCAGTCGATATAATAAAAAAGTAACTCAACGAAATCGATTTGCGCGTTTGACGCAAAAAGTACTGAACCGATTTTAACTAAATTTTGTGTAGTGATATAACGTATTAGGTACTTGGGTCAACATTTAGGATACCTTTTACTACGGAAAAATCTTTCATTCCCACGGGAAAACACAATAATAACTGGTTCTATCAATTCATTCTTAGAAATCTACATGTTTAACGCTGACTAAACCTTAAGAGATACATCAAACAGTGTACTAGAAAATTGTAGGTCTTAATAAGACCTACAGAAAAATCTGCAAAAGCATAAGTCTTTCTCCTAAGGTAGACTCGCAATAACTATTCATCTCTCTCGCTCACTCTCTCACTCTCTCACTCACTCAATCACTCGCAATAACATAATATATCGTACCCAAGGACGCATCCGAGCGAAACGAGGGTATGTCACTATATTTTACATAGGAACTGAGTAATTCTCGAAAGAAAAAATAAATATAGATGTAAAAAGAATATATTATACTAGAAGTATCATCTTTTTCATGGGGCAACCCCTAAAAAATAAACATTAGCGGAAGGTTTCAAAAGGTAATTTTTTTGTTATGTTTTTAGTATACGAAATTTAAAAAATCCAAAATCAGCCATTTTATCAGCCAAATTATAGCTGGGTTCCGAGGTATAAAACTATTTGCACTCGACTATTTATTGAATGGATAAAAACATAAATGTAGCTTAAAAGTTTATTCATACATAATATTTAATACTATAAATGTTTTCAGATAAACGTAATTTGGATAATTCTTATCTATATTTCGATCAAATACGAAATTAACATACATATCTTTTTATATAGTAGGTATTAACCAGTTTGAATTGTGTCTACGAAACATCTCTTATATTCTGTTCTTTAGATTCCAGAACTTGATGATGATGAACTATGAATTTTACATATTATTATAATGCCATTATTCTGTATTGCTTTAGTTGTAATGTTATAGTTAAAATTGTAAGAAAAGCAATAAAGTCTGTATCAGTTACATTACAATAAGTATAGTCATGAACATATTTTATTATAAACTACTGGTGCCTTTTAACGGTTAGTAGATAGTCGATCCCTTGTTCTATGAAAAAAAAACAAATCTTTACCCAGTTTCAATATTGTTGAAACTAACAGCATTTGTAAAATATAAAATACTTTAGTAATTTCCTCATATTATATAATGGGCTTCTAGAGCTAGAATTAAGGTTATTAATTATGTATTTAAAAAAAAACTAGAATATAAGTAAAAAAAAATTAAATGAAGCTGTTCTATGAAGCTTAATAATACAATTTATACAATTGTATGTATAGTCTAGAAAAGTGTTTTTATTGCTCTATGAATGAAAAATAAATATATGATCATTTTATTGTAGAGTGTACATTAAGTTTTTAATATTTATCAATAAAATATTACCCAACTTCGTATGTAGTTTCCGTACATTGCATAATATGTTTTACCTAGAAATACATGACCATATAGGTAAGGATCATACAAGTTTTTATAACAATGTTAATCTTTGCAATTTTAATTTTTTATCGTATACGTAGCTATCAAAAACTCTTTTGTTTTATGTGATACATTAATATATGTATAATACTGTTCATACCAAAATCCATACAATAAATTACAATTCGACAAATCAATTTGATTTATACGAGTAGGTGGTATACCTCAGTAACTTTTACGTGAACAGTCTGTTTCATCAGTTTATTCAAAAAGGTAATACAATCGGGTTAACAACTCACAAAAAAATATTATTTCAAAAGGAAATAAGAAATACATGATTGTTCTAGAAAAGTGCATTTTGTTGATTGACGGTAATTCGGTACTCACAGCTCTACAGGCGTGGAAAACCTAATTACATTCGTTAGTCGGTTGGGTTATTCAACCGCCTGTCACACAATTACATTTACTGCAGCATAGTTTCACAGACAGTCTTTTGAAATACAAAGTATATTAGTAATGAAAAACATCAACAAATATATAAACAGTTTTCTATATATTTTAATATATACATTTTGTTATATTAAATTGACTTGGGTTTTAAATGTTTATAGAAGTACTAGCATTGCCCGCGGCTCCGCCCGCGTTTAGATGACCAAAAAGCAAACTCTTTGGTTTTACATATTAGTATATCTTAAAAAAAATGTCGTAAAAAGTATCCTATATGATGACCCGGATAACCAGCTACGACTATACAAAATTTCATCAAAATCCGTCTAGTGGTTTTTCATCACAGACAGACAGACAGACACAGACAAAAATTCTAAAAAATATAGATTCGACCTCTATACCGACAATAATGTCTATTACAATAAGATTTTCCAAAAACTATTTAATGTACATGTTTGTAACATTCCTGTATTGTTTCAATGTTAGTCGATTTTAGTCGTTCTTTTTGTTCTTTATACTCGCTACTATTTATATAATTGCTATACGTATTTGTGATTCTAAAATATATATTTTTTCCATAATTCAATATCTTTTATTATTTGTACTGTCCCATTTACTTAAAATTCCTATTCCTATTACAAAATTCCAAGATATAATATAAAAAATTCATACAGACATTTATGATTATATATCTCTCGATATTAAAATATTCGATCACGAATATTATAATGAAATTGCATGAATTTCGTTCTGAAAGTAACATACACATAAGGAATAAGCAAAATGTCAAGAGATTTCATTTCCGGTGCATTACAGTACAATGGCTGGTTGGAATTAAATATTTCAGGTGCGGCGGCAAGTTAGTGCGCGGGTTGATGAAACGACACACTCTGCACCCTGGAGCTGAGGGAAAATTTAATTATTGTTTCACTGCCACGAAGCACAGTTCAACACTCTTCTAAATGGCGAAGTACATTCGCGTGACGTTAAATGAGTTTTTGTGTCGAGTTCTTATTATATATGTAGATGTTTGGGGTCTGCTTAGGCCTAATTCTTTTTATTTTAATACATTATTTGAGCTAGGCCATGTTATTTTTTTTAATATCACAATTATTATATTCGAAAACTTATATTAAAAAACAATGTACACTATCTCAGTTTTTATATGCCTTTAAATAAGTTTGGTAATTTTCTACCACATATTTGTAATAGAAAAGTAACTTTAAACATACATAATTTTAAACAACAGCCGGATTTTTAAATATGTTCATATTTGTATTTAATGATTTACTGTGGGCATAAACGACTAAATATAATCTGTGTACAATAACGACGAACACAGTAAACAATCATATTTTGTGGCTCAAATTGACTCTCCAATAACGCAATGCTATGAAACTAGCGATATGCTCCAACACGCTTGTTTGTTGACTGGAACAAAATTTAACCTGACCAATCGTCATAAATATATGTGTGTATACTATAATAGTGTACATCGCATCTGAGGCGCAAACGAATCCGCGGTTAAGCTCCAGGCCTGCCTGCATAAATGAGTATAGCACTTGTGAATCGATCAGCTAATGGGATATGAATGAAGCGCGGAGTTTGAGTCTGTGGTACACGCGCTGGAATCTAATGGAATTCACTTGTACGCAAACAAGCCGCCATACGCCCTTCCCTACCTCAGAACGGGATGGGCGCATCAACGTATATTAGGTAAGCGCGACTTAGACAGCTATGAACATCCTTCAAATATATATTTGAATTATGAATAATGGAATAGTATGTTATATGAATCATTTTAAATATATACTTTCCTATATTACTCCTCTATAGAATCATTTATACTAGGGAATAATAGAGAAAGCATGATATGTTGTTGTTCAATATATGAGCTGATTAAGTAAAACAAAAATTGAAATTTATTTTTTAAAACCTAAGTTTTGACTTTTAGAGCTATATTTACGAAGGAATAGAAGTTTTGGCAATTTTTAAAATATACAAACTATTCTTGTCTGTATTGATTAGTCAAAACTTAGTGGGCGCGTCATGGCTAATTTCAACTGAAAATAAAAAAAGTTTTTTTTTATAGTAGGTTTTTAGGTTTTATAGTAGAGTTATTTTTTTTCAATCGATTTAATATACTTTTAGTCGTTGTCCTGAACTACGACTAAAAGTAGGTAAGTACGAGTATTTCCTCTGATAGAAGTTGAAGTTTAGTCTACAGTAAAAGTCACAAAAAATATTATTTAAATCATTTATAATAGATATTTTTTATGAATTTATAAAAAAAAATATGAAAGTGATGTAATAGACCGATAATCCCATAAATATTTCCTTGTAAAATTTGTAATACTCATGGGTTCTCTCTGCTAGATGAGAATTGTTGCTAAGTGTATAATATACCTATTATTTATAGTACTGTAAAATCTAAACGATAGCTTCATGTTCAAACTAAAATCATTCAAGTTGAGTAGATCAATCTATCTAGACTAGGATAGGCAATACATATGCAGTTGAATGGTAAACCAGCACATTTTAGTGTAAAATTACCTCATTTATATTAAATAAGTTTACATAAAGTATGTAGTTTTTTATAAAAGCTAAAAGCCTTAAATTTATTAATGTACCTTACTCACAATTTATATTATTTTTTAATATCTCGTCTCGTCTCGTTAAAATTAGCTAAAGGGGATTACATATTACGAAATGCCATCGATCTCCATTGTATATAGGTATATGTAATAAAATTATTAGGGAATCAATTTTTTTTTGGTATTAGATAGATGGTATTTTGAAAAGCTGAGATTTGAATAAATGTTAATTAAAATTTTAGTGTAGCTATTTTTTAAGTAATATTATTTTAAGTTTTGTAGAATTAACAGAACATCAAAAATTTAGATTCAAATTAAGAATTCTTAGAAAAAGAGAAAGTCAACATACATACAATAGAAATAATCTTATATACATATATTCAGGAAGACCAAACGTGGCCTTAAACCTGATTGAAATGCTTAGAATTCCTTACATAAATATTTCGCTATAATATCGGAAAAGAGATCAGAAGTTAATCTATCGGCAACATTCCTCGCCTTTCGCCGGAAGGCACCGCCACGCCACGCCGACCCGCACCGGGGCGCCCGCCGCTGGCCTGCTATAGCTCTTCTGCACGCGACCGCCCCCGTACGGCGTGTACATTATGCCCGTACTTACTGATTAATCGATCCTTTTGCAACGCTATGCAAATATCTTGTATGAGCGCATTCTAGTTTACATTCAAATTTAATTGTCAGTTTCAGCAAAGTTTGATTACCGTCTGCCACAATAGTCAATGTCTATTGGCTGAGCAGACAGTTCAAATGATACTTGGTTAAGTTATATCTTCTAATTTCGAGCCCTTACTATTGTGTTACATACTTTGGTATTTTTTGTATTATATAAATATTTTAAATAATACAAAAAATACCATAAAATAAGTGCTGTGCTTTGCCGAACATTACATGTGAGTTTTAGTATTTTAGTTCTCTCGATTGATTGGCATTAATATTGTATAAAATATGATATAACAAAATATAAAACATGTTTTTGAAAATCATGAGAAGAACAAACTCAATAAAAATCATTCATTTGGTCGGCTGAGTTATACATATATTTGATTACTTTCGGACTATCCTACAATGCTTTAACTATGATATTTAATATTCGTATCGGGTAATAAAATATTTTTATTTGTGCGTTGAGTTAGTAACATAACTGTTTGTAATCTAATAAATATTGAAAAAACTTCTAGCTTTTTATATGAAACTAAATTAGTACTAGTCACACTGAAAATTAAATTCGCATGGAGGGTTCCGTTCCATTACACAATGCATATTTTGTGCTATTTAATAACCAATAGGAAATTAAATATAGAAGTAGTAGTAACCCAATATTGGACTATTAACCCGGCTGCGCTATGTATGTTTGTTCCTTTGTGGCACTCTAGAGATCAAAGGCGTGGACCGATTCTGATGATACATACGATAGATTTGTCTTAATAGCGCGAATGAAAAATTATAATGGCGGATTTCAGGTGCCAATTTGTGATTTTAAAAAAATATTCTAAACCAATCGAGTAGGATATCAAAATGAACCGATCACAAAAATATATACAACTTATAATATGTTAAAAAGTCATTTAGGATAGAAAATTGCTAAATGTTACTCCAAATGTCTAATTGGCAAAAATTTAATTAAAAAAAAATATTATAAAAACAAAAACACCCAACTACATAAAAGCTAACTAAAAATACGAAAACAAGTTGACGAAGGAATATAGTATTTATTATGCAGGCCGAGAAATATAGCATTATGCAGAATTCTAAAAAATAACATTACAAAATAACTAAAATTTAGTTATTTTATAATGTTATTTTTTCCAATTTTCCTAACGGTTTTTTGGATAGAAAAAACAAGAAGATCCCTAAAAAGAATTTTCTTATATGACCACCTTCGTCTGTAACCAGTTTACATAACCTTAACCGTTCTTTAAATTTATTCGTCTACCATTTATTAATCGTTAATAAGGCAATGGTGGCGAAACAAATTGACGAAGCAACCCAAATGCTGCGCTGCCATAACTAAATCTTTTTAGGGCTGTTGATGATGTTTTTTTCAAACTAGATTATTTGTCAGAAATAAACAAATACAGCAACGTTTCCGAAAATGTAACTCAGAGATGTACCCGTTTTTTTATTATATTTGTCTAAGCTGATCACAGGTTTCAAGTTTGTGTGAAATAAATGATTGGCTTACATAAAATTTCACTTCCGCGAAAAATACTTCCTGAAAGTCAATTCTGGGCTGGATTAACCTAAAATTATTGGACTTGTAGAAAAGAAGGACTGATTATGAAATAAGTAACCTTTAAAATACTGGGACTACAGGTTAATAAACACTATCCATATGATATAAAATCACAATATAATGAAATAGTAAGCTTTTAAAATCAAAAAGGTTAACAAATTTTTTTGATAAGAAACAGTCACAGTTATAAACAACACAGTTAATAGAAAAGTCAATTAACTATGAGTGAAGTCGTTAAATCTAAGCTTTTAATCCTAATGTACATTTGTAATAATGTACATTGCAGTACATTTTCTTGAATATACTGAAAGCTGGAAGAACAAGCAGGATGTAATTTGACATTTGAATGACGAATGCCTCTGCAATTTTAGAGCCGGATAACACAATATTCTTATCGGTTTAGAAAAATATTTTTTTAAATCCGAAATCCATCGAGAAGGGCTGAATATTTAAACCTCTTCAGGTTTTCTGATAGCATCGACGTATTTGTGAAAGAATAATCATAATTTAAGGCACGATCAAGGACGTAGTTAGAGAATATAAAAAAGTCGGCCTTAAATCACGGAATAAGATTAGGTTTATTTAGTTAGGTCAGTGTAGTTCAAAGGTCAAATAGACAAGGAAAAATACGCGAGTGGGAATGGAATATATGTAAAATTTATGTTAATTATGGGGGTCTATCTTTTCGCTTCATGCATTTCACCATAAAGTAAGGAATATACGTAACAATTTTCGTGATGTGTGACGTGATGGTCGTAGCGAGCCTAGGTGGACGAACAATAATAAAAGATTGGGTACCAAGGGATGAGTAGAGTAAGGAGATAGACCAAATAAATGTAGCAATGTTTTTTTAGAAATAAATGAATCGCACTGAACTGACATTGGTAAGAATTTCATCTTTTAGATTTGTAGTAGTTTAATTGTATACGTTTGTGTTATGTGTCTGCAGGGCCGGATTTACCTTAAGTGTCGCCCTGGGGCACCGTGAAAAATACCGCCCTATTACCTATATACTGCATTACCTATATCTTACTCTAGGGTCTTTAGGTACGTTTTCATTTTTTTGAACGGGATCCTAATTCTTATTCTAAAATAAAAGTAGCCTAAATTACTCCTTATAACATCAGCTATATGCTAGTGAAGTCCCGTCATAATCAGTCCAGCCGTTTCGGAGATTAGCCAGAACAAACAGACACAAATTTTTTTAAAAATTGTGTTTTACTTATAAGTGCCGTATATAGTTTTATATGCATTTAGTAAAAAGCTGTTATTTTGTAATAACAGACAGACACTTCGATTTCATTTATCTGTATAGATGTAATACCAGGCGAATAATCTCCGCGGTGACATATAGACCAGGGCTAAAAAAGTGAAAAAAGATAATAGTAGGATGAAACCCATTGGAAAAGGAAGAGAATATAACAAAAATGGAAGGAATAATATTTACGGGCGATCTGAGGTCGGAAAGTGGGAGGAGGTGAATTTTTAAGGGTAAAAAACGGTTTATCTCGATTTCCGGCAAAACTATAAGTCTTATGGAAAGAAGTTAAATGGGAAAGAGTGTAGGTAATAAAAAGATCTACAACTTTTGTCATTACATTTTTTTACATAACCTCAAAATTCATTTAAAAAATTCTAATAACCAAGTTTTTAGTTTTTTATTTATTATTTTATATTTTACAAAAAAAAAAACCTTTTCACGAAATTTGGGAAAAAGTTTCTTTTTTATGTCCCAAACAATCTATAATTATTTTGATTTAAAAAATTTATTATTTCACCTTATATATCGAAAAAGCACCTTAATTTTCAATCGAAAATTCTCGCGTCAAAATATCTGCTTTTTAAAAAAATTCGGTGGGCTTTTTGTTCGTTGAAATCTCTACTTTCTGATAGTGTAAAAAAAACATTACTATGGTAATTTTTTTAGAAAATTATTAATTATTGTTTTAAATTCATTAGATTATTTAAATTTATAAGAGGTTAAATTCAAATTGAATATGTGTTTATTTTTCTTTATTTTCTTACAAAAATATGTACAAAATAAAGATAATTGTTTTCCTCTTCACAGATAATATTAACATTATATCGTTAACGGTTTCGTAATTTATGTTCTAAGAACGTCATTGTGATTTTATGATCAGGCTGATGACACATAATAGAAAAATGTGTCACATGCGAAATTAAATTGTTTTAGTTATAAAAATATGATTATTTGTTGTATGAGCTAGTTTTGCCGCAATTCTCAAGTAATTGAGAGTCGTGTAGCTGCTATTCACGCGGCCGAGCCCGGTTCACTACAGGGAATAGATTCCTTTAGTCACAATAATGGCTAATATATTCATGAAACTTACAAGAATATTTCCGAAAGAGCTTCCTCTGCTATACGTGCCTACTTATTATATCGACAATCATACATACACATCAGATACAATATTATACGTTTTAAGTGTAGAATATAAGTTTGCTTTAAATTCTTTGGAGAAATAATACTAATTCTGATAGTATAAGAGTATATGTAACTATAAAATTGTCATCAAAACTTGATGAGAACTTTCATTTTATTGAAAAATTGCAACAGAAAAATTTATTTAAAATTCAATCTATGATTTTATAAATAATCTTTTTACTTCCCTTTCTTTTTTAAAATAATTAGTGTGAGGTAGCCATATATCTAATGTTATTTAGCAAAACGCTACACATTTTTTATATTTATTGGTCTTCAAATTTAAAAGCTTCCATTTGTTCTTTGTGTTGTGAAAGGCTTGCTAGAAGCAACAAGAAACGGATCGAAATAAAGTACGAATGTCGAATGGAATGCACGTCAGAGACATGCGGCGTGGGGCGCACGCGACGCGTCGCGCAATTTCCGCCTCCCTATCAGATGCTGATGCGAGTGCACTGCACGCCGCACTGAACTCTTCGCCACCGCGACTGTTCCAAAACAAGAAAAACTACGTGCTTGTAATACATATAAAAGTATAGAAACTAGTATTATGTTTTTAAAACTCTTAGTTTAATACATATTTTAAACTCCAAAACTTTTAAATAAATTATGTTTCGTTATCATAAAGTATATTTTGTTAATATAGAAATTTAAGATGACCACAAGAAAAGTTTAACATTATTTATAGGTTCGTACCCCTTTCTTGGCACGCAAGGAATGAATTTAATAATTACGGAGAAAAGGAGCGTACCGTGCAGGGTCTTGGTAGAAAGACAGAGTGGGGGCACAACGCGATTAAATCGCGAGCGTTTCGGCATGTAACAGGAAGTGGGTCAAGCGGCGCCGCCCGAGCTATTTATTGCGTTTCCGACTAAATTGCAATAGCTATCTAAGAAAGAAAAGATGCTTA